ATGGCCATTATATATTGCTCGTTTTGTTAAAGTAATCAAGTTTTGGTGTAAAACAATCCAAACTGATAATATAATTATGAAAAAAGTTTATGAACTAAGTGTTATTGATTGTGAACATGGATATAATAACTGGGTCTCAAATGTTAAACGATTATTGTATACATATGGTTTTGCTGATTGTTTTATAAACAGTGATAATGTTGATGGTAAATTATTTCCTAGAATATTTAAACAAAGACTTATTGATAATTATGTACAAGACTGGCATGGTAATATTGAAAATAATAATGTTTTAGATCTATATAAAAATTGCAAAACTAATTTATCGTATGAAATTTACCTCGACCTTTTGCCACGTAGTTTAAGAATGTATATTTCCAAAATAAGATTATCAGCCCATTCTCTCAGAATACAAACTGGCAGATATAGTAGACATAGATTACCACGAAACGAGAGATATTGTCAGTGCTGTAATACCCTTGATATCGAAGATGAATATCATTTTGTTCTGGTTTGTCCTTGTTATAATAATATTTGTAAGACATATATAAAAAAATATTTTTATGTTAGACCATCGATGTTCAAATTTATTCAGTTATTGCAAACTTCAAACAAGCTTTTATTAATGAATTTAGCAAGATACATTAAAGAAAGTTTGGCAATCAGAAATACTCTCTTAAATATTTGATTTTTTAACATCCTCTTGGAAAATAATATTTTTTTTTACAATTCTCATATATCATAACATCATGTTTGTTTGTGTAATCATGCATTGTTCTTAAATAATAAAGGTATTTTCTCGTATTTGATACATTATCATATGATATTTGTGTGTTAACATGTATAACTTTTAATGATACTGTTCTTATTCTAGAAAGAAACTGCTCATTAAGTATTTAGTTTTGCTGCTGGTTAACATCTATCCTTCGCCTTTAACGGGAGGGAGTTTTACTTTCAGTGGGATGGTTAGACTCACTGGGTAAAATATGGTATACAATATCCTGTGAGGTTGCCAGTAGACTTTCTATTACTGCTATGATTGAGAAAATATTTACTTATTACTCATAACAATGTACATTCTATTATATATTCTAAGTATCATATTGTACTTTGTGTTACCATGATCACGTGACGTGATAATTGTTTTATTCATCTATATGCATGACGATGTACTATGTACAAGTCTAAATAAAACGTATGTTCTGTTCTGTTCATAAAAATATTAAAGAATAAGAAGCTTTAATTAAAAAACAAAAACAAAAAAAACAAAAACAAAAAAAACCCGCATACATATACAAATTACTTACAGTCGAGCATCAGGAAGTCATTAACATATCTTACGAAACTTTAATTTGAAACCGATATTTGCTCGCGCTGAAGTGATAAATGTTTATTTTAAAAATTAAAAAAAAATACTTTTATGGTTGTGTTCTAAAAATAATGGGCGGCATAAGAGGAATTTCTTATTCATTTTACAACACTTGAAAAATTACTACAGAAAATGTGTTGTTGTTTTGTTTTCAACAAAAGTGTGTGTGTTTTAAGTTTATTTATACTCGGCGCCGGAATAACCATATGTCCGAGATTATAGCATCTGGGACGTCTTTTTCAAGCAGATTCTTCCTGGAAGCCCATTCTTCATTCTTTGGTGGTAAAGGAGACGACAATACCGTCAAGGCATCAACTTTCTGACTGACGACAACAAAAACGGCATCTATTAGCGCCAAACCTCCAGAGTAAGTCACGACAGGTCAACCAATCACCTCTGGTACTTATGATGACTTGACTATGACCTTCCGTGTGCCTTCTCCGCGACGTGCACGCCTCTGGAGGTATTTGGAGAAGTTTCAACAAAAACTTCCAAAACACGCCATTTATAACACCATTCATAGCACTGACGGCTTCGATGTTCTCATCTATTTGCTGGAAATGGTCGACAGGGAAAACCCTACGTAATAACCGCACACCCTGTTAAAAACAGATTTTCCGCAGTATATATTTCAAGCTAGTGAGGTTTAAAAATACACGTAGAATCTATCGATTAACTACCATAAGTTGGTTGAGTGTTGAGTGTTGGCGGTAAAAAAAGAAGATATAACTTCCTGATCAATTTTCACTTAGGTTGATTCAGTTTTGAATAAGCTTTGCAGAGATGTATTTTTTCAAGAAATATTTAGCTTTAATATTATCCGACGCCGTCAGTAATGAAATGGGATTAATTTTCTGAAACGTGATTTTATTCGCGATTTGCTTCTGAAGAAGACAACCTTCTGTCCGTACAGCATGAATGTTAATACTCATCACAAGACAGTATCTTATTGATCTCAATTATGGTACATCTAAACGTGTATAATTTTTATGTTCAATAAAAATGTTGCATCACTTGCAGTTGTTATTATCATTCAATAATATTAAAATGACATAAAATTTATGATGAACAGTCCTAGAATATTTTAATAAGGAACCGTCAGTTGTAAAATGTTATTGTTATCTGATAATGAACAGTCGTCATACTTGCTGGTATGTCATTTATTATTGACAGTTTAGGTTTTTCAAAATTTGCATGATTAACAGTCGAATGTAGACCTTAATTAAATGTTCTGGAACATTAACAAAATGAATAGTCAACCTCATTAACCATATATATGAATGGTTGAACACAACAGTAAGGATAAATAGCGCAATGTGCATTTCTTTTTATTTTGGTAGCATATTTTAAGCAAAAAGAAAAGAAACTATAAGTCTGAAACATTCTCTCATAGCCTCCCCATCAGTACATTCAGTGCTTTGATTTAATCATGGACTTATGAAAACAAATAAGAACAATTTGTGAAATAAATGACATTTTAAATCGTTCCACATCGCCGGAACCCACGAGTACCGATTTAACTGAGCTACATTCATGACGTGTATACGTGACGAGTACGCATGCGCTATCAATGAATCAAACATATTGCAAATTATCAGTATAAAGGTTCTTTAGAATTATGTACTTTATCACTTTGATGGCTGAATAAAAAAATGCATAAAATTCCATAATTATCTAATTTAAAGTACAGATAATCTAGTTAGATTAAATATAAATATGATTGAACATAAATATTATATTTAAGAAATAATATATCCCAAACAGTGATTTTATCGCTCAATAACATCACTGTTTGGAGCTCGGATGCGAGGAATTATATCACGAGGGCGTAGCCCGAGTGATATAATGATGCGCATCCGAACGACAAACAGTGATGTTATCAAGAGATAAAATCACTGATTTGGATATATTATTTCGATTCTAACACGAAATCAACAAATAAATGTTGCCGTACTTGATAGATAAGCAATTTGCGCCTGATTTGTTTCCGTACTTATTTTCAGCGCGTCGGATTTTTAGTGGTTACGTCACGTAAATATATGATTACGTCACATGTCTAAATATAGAACGTCAAACTGTGCATCTGTTGCATAATAACACACACTTTCTGTTCTTCCATGTTCAATAGGGAAAAATGTGGGACGTGTTAGAATGAATATTTTATTTCCTTTTTATAAACATATATATGACTTTATGTTTGTGTCATTGTAGGGTAAAAGATATACAGGATATTGAATGAATGTAAGTTTAATACTGAATTTATTGAACGAGTTAAATACAATTATATTATGCGAGCCTCTGGCGAGTTCAATTTTAGTAATGAACTAACACGACTTTAAAATTGCTGTGTCCAAGTATGAAGATAATTCATCCGATAACAATAAAGAAGATATGAAAATTGACATAGAAAATTGCATTGTGATATTGCATTTATTTTCCAAGTTAATATCTCTACCAGTTCTTGAGATTGGACGGGACGAGACAGGATGCTACAAAGTGATTTTTATATTCTATAAAATAAAAAAAGAAAAGAAAAAAAATAAAGGCTATGTTTGGTGTGGGTACATAAATATGTACGAACCAAGTATATTTAAGCAACAACAAGAACAACACAACTTTTTTTAAGAATATTGTCCTGCCTTTGTTTGAATTAATAATTAATTAATAATTAAAAATCCGCATCGAACAAAATCAATAAAATATTAACAGTTTTCACCTTTAAACATAAGGCAATGTTTATTTTTCTTGTTGTAAACATTTTATTATTGTGAAAAAAAAGGAAACATTTTTCGGATGATCATCACATCATACAAATCGGTAATTTACATTTATTATTTGGTTTACCTTTAACAACTGCGACTTTCAACGCTTTTCAGCTATGAGTTATTTATGTCAGAGACATAGATAACATGTTGTCTATGTCTCTTTTTATGTAAATCAATTGACAGATGTTGTACAATTTACTTCAGTGCACACGATTTATAAATTTGACATGTCTCGATCAAATTTATACCATCATTCATTTTAAAAACTGGGGGCAAATGACCTCTTGATAGGAGAGAGTGACACAAAAAGCACATTAAAATTGCAGTTGTAATAGAAATGAAATATACAAAATTAAATTACAAATAATTTACAAATATTTACACCACACATATAAAGAAAAAAGAACAAAACATTTTTATACAGATTTCAAACATTTTGAGTAGAAACAATCATTTCTCTTGCGCGGTTTTGAGGTTTTCAGCTTTTCTTTATAATAAAATTGCAGATTTTTTAAAGTTTTCTGATTTCTTAACAAAGTGTCTTTTACGGCACATAACTTACATATCTTGTCACCTTTTCAGATCCTTTAAGTGTCCATTATGGGGGTCATACCTTATGGAACCTTTGTAAATAATCTAAGTGTATGTAAATGTTTGTGTACAGAATCACTCAAAATTCAGAAATATTGTATGTAAACTTGATAAACTTGTCTCGAGCATAAGAAAAAAAAATAAATTGATGAAAAACGTGTATAGAAACTTTCCGGATCTTTGTTTAAATTAATATTTACATTGTTAATAATAATCATTCTGTATGTAGCCTGTCCTAAGCAAGTGAACATATCTTTTAGAATAATTAATGTTACCTGTGTCACATCCGGTAATCAGTACACCACGGCCGGAAGTAGATATTTTTTTATCAAAATAATATGACCATATTTCAAGAAGTATCTTCCAAATTACATATAACAAGACTGAACATAAAGTGTATTTAAAGAACATATAAGGTATTAAACATAACGCCATCGTGAAAGTTATTTGGTAAAACTCGTATCCAACGCAATCTATAAAATAAACACAGTTTTTCATCTTAAATCATAAAACTATGAACACTTTTGTCTTGTGAAAGTTGAAATGATTTTACATTTATCTAATCCAAAAGAGATCATTTTATTTTCTAGCACAGTCAACACACCATAGTTATCAGTAAAGTGCAGTAATAATGTGATTCTTTTTTGATCTTACAACGTACGTAGCTTAATTTTTTTATTCAGTTCAGATCCGAGCTATTCAATTATAGTCTATAGTAATTGTTTATTCGGTGCACAAAGGTCTATAAAGTTGCTAACGTTGATATTTCTTAAATACTATTATAATTCACTTTGAATTCTCGGCAAACGGGATCTCTTCGGAGGTAATCAGTACGCCGCGACCGGAAGTGAATATTTTTGTTATAAAGATACAATGAAAATATTTCCAAATTTCATGTGACAAGATTATACAAATGGCGCACTTAAAGAATATAGAGAATATTTAACATAATGTCACTGTTAAAAAAAAATATTTGGTCTATATCCGTCTCCAACCAAATCTATAAAAAAAATACACAGTTTTCCACTTTTTCTTCATTTAATATTAAGCTATGTACATTATTTTGACGTGGGAACGTTTGCACCTAACTTGTGAAATTAAATGGATGATCGCCACACCATAAAAAAATATGTAGAGTAAATTTGTAATGTAGTGCATCTTACATCATTACCTATTAAGGTTTATAAATTTATATAAATTTGCTAATACCGACATGTCGCATTTATACTTAACATAAGTTCAAAATACTGGGAAAAGGGATCTTTAAAAGGAAACGAAAGCAAAACAAAAACGAAAGAAAAGGAAGTTAAAGGAAAAGAATTAAAATTATGACTACAAAAATGAATGATTCACGTGTGCCAACTTATAGGACATTGAGCCGCGCCATGACAAAACCAACATAATGCGTTTGCGACCAGCATGGATCCAGACCAGCCTGCGCATCCGCGCAGTCTGATCAGGATCCATGATGTTCGCTTACAAACCCTATAACAAGTAGAGAAACTGATAGCGAACAGCATGGATCCTGATGCGGATGCACAGGCTGGTCAGGATCCATGCTGGTCGCAATCGCACTATGTTGGTTTTGTCATGGCGCGGGACATTTGTCATTCGATAAAGTAGTTCCGGTCCCGAGTATTAGCGCGGCTTATAAGAATAAAACTTAACTATTTTTATACATACAAACTGTATAATAAGGTACTGTCAAAAGATGGATAAAAGCGCTGGTAATAAAACCCGGGTGAGTTATCTTGATCCTTGGGAAGGATTGAAACATAATTTTAGCCACGAAACATGGCTAAATGTAGAAATGTTTACGTATTACAGTAAGATCTGAGTTCATCAGTTGAATACTTAATCCAGTACAGTGCCATGTTTTGGAAAGGGATCCATAAGAAATCAATTTTGAAACATAAACATACATCTATTCATAAACAACTTACAACAGCTATAGCTAGTATTTCCTTTCCTTACTTTCCTTAATTACTAAAACTTACATCCTAATTATATATTTATAATTTAAGGTATTATGCCCTTAATTGCAAATTTTAGATTTTTTCTCTTGAACTTTGTAAAATTCAAGAGAAAAATGATTGAAACTAATTGATGAAAACAAATTCGGGGACGTGGGTTGTGAAACATGCTACCTTTTTAATTATCTGTCCCTTAAATTGAGTTTTTTTCTCTTTCGTGTTGCAAAATTTGCTAAGATTCTATGTATTTGATTATATCACATAAAGCTCGGCGAAAAATTATTATGTTTCAAAAAAGCAGAGCTAATTTTATTTTAAATAAAATTGCTTTAAACTGTGTATAAGGACTGAAGAAAATAATTATTTAACATTAGCAAAACTATTTTGAAATAAAGTATCGGTATCCTTGAATTTGATCGAGTTATCTGCTCGTGAAAGTGATCTTAGAATAAAAATTCAATTTCAAGGGCAGATTACCCTTTTTAGGATGGTGACACGAACATCTGTTTCATCAGTATGTTTCAATCATGATTCCCAATAAAACAAATAGATAAAAACGGAATCTTTAACGAACACCCAAAGACTCACATCTGGTGTAAATTTTCCTCCCATCTTTGCCATTGTAAAACAATGCTAAAATTTCCAATGCGGGGCCTATTGCCTTCATTGATGTAAACATTTCCACAGGAATTCAACGCTTTTATGCTTATTATATTAAAATAATTCAACAATTCATGGTATTTCTTGTGCAAGTTGTTCTTTCGAACAAAGAACCGCTTTCTCTAAAATTAAAATACATCTCTCGAAAAGAGAGTCAAGGAAGTAAGAAAATAACATCAAATAGTTAATAAAGATAAATCAATTAACATGTGTTGATCTATTAGAAAAGTTGTCTGCTCCTCTGTTATAGTTCCTTTTATAGCATCACATGAATTACTGCTGTCTGAATAACAGTTATAAATCAACCTCCCCCGTCTTAATACACTCAGCAAGGTCTTAATTTTGGCTTAAACGACAGTAGATGGCAGCGTGCAGAGAGTTTATCCGTTATTATTTCAAATAATGACCAAGTACTACTATTCCTGTATTCAATTAACCGATCAACAGACAATACTTATTATTATGTATTTACGTTATACCTTGTATTTGAAAGCTTCCTCTTCGTCACGCTAGCATCGGCTTTAACATTTATACATGAAAATGTTGAAATTTGAAATTAAAAACCATCCACAGATTCAATTTTGTAAATGTCGGGTATCGAATGAAAACAGTTTTCAAACATTTTTCCAAAACGAAACGGAAATTAACGCTAAAATTACCTCCCCGTGTATCTAATGAGTGCTGCCGAATTTTGTTGAAATCTCGCACGTTTGCGACCCCCGAATTCAAAATTTACAAGAAATTTTCGTTAGTGTTTCTCTGTGGAAATTATGATTACAAAATATTAAACGTTAATAATTATTCAGAATTAAACACTATCCTTACAAGCCTATTCTGAATAACGTTATAGCAACAACAACAACAACAAAGTCATGGAAAAGGCTCCAGGGCTCCTTGCCGCTGGTTCTTGTTGCGAGGTCGTTTGAGGGTTGCGTTCATTTTACCTTCAATGTGACACTTTCGTGCCATTCCATGAAAAACGGCGTATAGTCCCCAAGTAAAAGAAAGCGTGTGCTCTAAACCAGCAATGGGCGGAACAAAACAAAATGAAATTTTGAAAGGGTATCAGAGGCTCTGAAGCCTTTATATCACAGACAAGACGTCAAAAGACAAAATATAAAAAGCAGGCAACATATCCTATTAAATGTAATAGAGTAGATAAAATATGAATTCATTAAGAAGGTTCAAAAGGCAAAATTGAAAATGTTGCAAACTGCGTTTTTTGAATGCCTCCCATCCTTGTTAATCTTGTTTATTGTTATATTTGATTGAGCCATATTATGACTGGAAACAGCAATTTTAAGGAAAAATGTCTGAAAAATTCCGTGACGGATAAGTTTTTTGATATTGATGTACAAATTTTCAAATTTAAATATTTAATTTTTAAAGTCACCTATTCTTAAACTTTAAAATTTAGAAAATTTAATTTTTCAAATATGTGTCACTTACATGATTTATGATGTAACCCTTTAATAGTAATATGAAGAAGCTTATATTATCTATTATTTATTTGCGTTTTATTTTTATTTTATGTTTTTTGTACCGTTGCTGTATACTGAAAAAAAGTAAATTTGCACTTTTCTACTAGTACAAAGAAATTTTTTCAGATAATAATGGAACTTAAAGTGTAAAACATAATAGAAAATCTTTCATTTTTATTACAAGCAACAATTTATTCAGCATTGTTGTATTTGTGTACTTTAATATTCAATCCTTCGCAATTTCTGATACACAATGATTAAGCAGCATTATTATATATTCATGTTTGTCTTGAAAATTGAAATGTTTTCCGACGTATAAGGCTTAAAAATTCACTTAAGTGTTGTTATATTTTTTGGTCCTTCGTGATCATTGACTCTAGCACTTTTGAGTGCTGAGAAATGAGTACCACTCAAGCTTGTGCTAGGGGCGTGATGGATGTTGCACTTTTCATTATCCCTCATGCATAGACTCAATTAAACCGAGTCTGCAATTTTCATGTAATATTGCTGTTTTTTAATGCATCTGAGGGATTACATTTTCCAAATATTTAAAAATGTGTACATACTTACCTTAAATTACACAGTTCATTTTGGTAACTTTAAATATTGTATTATCAGGAGTGACAAATTGATCGAGCATACAAACATTTAATTTTTGTTGTTAAGTTTTTGTTGGATTTGCTGTTGTTGTTTTTTTCTTTTCTTGCAAGATGTCAATTTTCCTGTCATTTTTTGCCATATGCAAAAATCACAGACTTGTTGTGTCTGCCTTTCTTATACGTCTATTCTAGTATAAAATACATCAATATCTTTTAAATATAAACTAAGCTCATCTTGCAGAAAAACTTATTGAAATCTAGTATATACTTTCTGAATATGTCAAATATGAATAAGTGAATGTATAAACTATTTTGGCAAGCTGCATTCCCGGTTACTTGTCAAATTAATTTGGTCTGTCAGGTTTTTAACGACACTATGTCATCACTCTGTGATTACCTGTTATATGTCTCTAGTGTTTTGAACGTAACATATTTTCTAAATGTGCATAAAAAATATTTTACATTTCAAAAGACTGTATAGCAATTATCAGTTTGTTTTTTTCAAATATCAAATTTGAACATAACATATCTTAAACATATCACGCTGAGATGAAGTAGAGGGTAGTCTTTTAATGTTTTTTATGACTTAAAAACAAGTAAAACAAGTAAAGTTATAATACAGAAATTTATCAAACATTCTTTTTTTTTTTTTTGAGAAATAGCTAATTCTTAATACAGACATTATTTGACAGTTCTATAACAGTCACGCCACGCTGCAACGAACTTCGTCGTAATCCAAGTTGGAAGAATGTTGTTAAATCTTGCCAATAACTGAAATAAATGTAAATATGAAAAGGTTAACAAAGTAATAGTCACTTTTTTATTCTTACGATAGTTGTAAAAACGACATGAAAATGTGCAACATACAAATTATCTTCTCTTTAACTTAAATTCATCATGTCTAAATATGACAGATCCATAACAAGTAATGGAAATGGAAACAATAAACGGATACTGCTAAAATGTCTTTGAATCAGATAAAGACAGGCAATGAGAGTTGCGCAAAACTTCTTATGAGGTATATTAACAGAAGTTTATATAATTTCCATCTAAGAACTCGACAGGCAATGAGTTGCGCAAAACTTCTTATGAGGTATATTAACAGAAGTTTATATAATTTCCATCTAAGAACTCGACTTACTTTGAACAACGAAAAGTAAAGCAAGAATATACAGACAACACATATAGCATAATGATAAACATTGTTTTTAACATTTTTATTATTACATGAATTGCTAGAAAAAAGGAAAAGGTGTCGGGTTTGAGAGGGTTGGGAGGCACAAAATTGGATATGAGGGGAAATGGAAATGAAATACTTAACGCTAACGGCAATATAACAATACAGGACATCACATAACATGTCAACAAACAAAACTATACACAAGACATACATTTAAAGGAACACAGAGGTATAACCGTTCTGGAACTGTCGTTAGTATAACACCACTGGTAAGTTTACGTAATGGCGTTATATCTAAAATAATTACTATTCCCTTCTCGTTTTTTTTGCCCCCGTTCTAAGTCGCCTTTCCCACGGTTAACTGATGTTTAAACATGCGTTCCTAAACATAGCCCACCTTTGAGTGTTATGTTAAAATACCAAAATCTACTTATATAAGTTTTAACAAGCTTGGATGCATACCGCATATTCGTCTATAAGAGATAACTTTGAGCCAACTCCATCCACAAGATACCTCGTTTTCGGAGAAGAGCTTATCAGGGCATGCTCTACTGCTTTGACAACAGGAGTGACGTCATCATTTGGAGGCCATGTTCCCATTGGTTTAGGTGTCCAAGACATCAAATATTGTTTTGTATAGGATTTCTTCACATCCGGAGTTGCATTTTCCCACATCTCTTCTAATTCTTGATTCAGACGTTTCACCTAAATAACATATAAATAATAAAAAAAGTCCTCGGGAATAAGCAAACGTGTATATTGTGAAAGCTGATTTAAAGCTTGTGTGAAATAGCAGGAATTCGGGAATTATTAAATATAAAATCTAAACTTGACATGATAGTATGAGCACTTATATAATCATGAAAGTTTGCGTGATGTGAAAATTAAACAGCTCATAACCTTAAAAGTGGCTTACGCATTGTAAGAAAGAAATTATAGATTAAACATGTATTAAAGTTATAATTATTGAGGATAAAAGTTACGAAATATGATCACTAATAAATATTAACGTATGACCTTAGGTTTGTGAAATACACCACACAAACACTGTAATGTCAAAGACCGACATTTCAGCCTTATTGGTGGTGAAAGACTTCAGGTGCTACTCTGTACATAATTTCTTGCATGAGCGAACACAAAATCCCTGTCAACTAAATCTATCGCTTACTCTCATAAACCATCAAAAATCCTTACGGGATTCAAACCCACATCGGTGAGGAATAAAAACTTTAATTTGGAGGTAAATAATTATTAGGCTTACCATTTCCGTGCTTAATACTGACGTGCACCTTCCATACATGCCTGGCTCTACAATGCTGACGTTTACCCCAAATTTAATCATTTCAAGTCTCAGAGAATCTGATAATGTTTCAATTCCATGTTTTGCTGTCTCGTAGTTTGATTGGCGGGGCAACACCATTCTACCATGAACGCTAGTAATATTGACAACCCGTCCTATTTAGGAAAATCGAAACAACAAATAATGTCTTTTTATCAACAGGTTACAGAAATACGTATAAATTGCACTTGCTTTGAGATAAGGGTTTTTTTCGACCGTAAGCAGTTTTTTACACTTTTTTACACAACTGATAAACGAAATCACTGTACCCTGAATTGCAAGCTTCTTTAAAATAATATAGCAAAATATACTTTTCGCTTTAATCAAATCGTGCTTACCTTTTGATTGCCTAATAAGTTGGAGAAATTCGCGTATTACTCTAATTGGCCCGTATAGATTAATATCAAATGTCTTCTCTAGCTGAGACACTGTGGTAAGCTCAATCTCCCCAAGAAAATTTACACCAGCATTGTTTACAATACCCCATAAACCTGAAAAATATTGCTAAAAGATGAGCACGTGACGTTGTACTTACTATATTCAGGGTTATATACACACATAAAGTGGGGTCTGTGATACAAGCTAACCACTATCTACACACTTAAGTCACCAGCTTCTCTGATTAGTAGACGATACTTTAACAGCTGCCATGTTGGATCCCGGTTGGCGGCAACAAGTTAACAATGTAAAATTTAAAATAGAAATATATACTTTGTCAAATATTTTTTCATCTCTTAGTGTTATTTACCCGGATAATGGGGAAAATGTATACGATACATGCAGTCGGACATAATAAAATACTTCTACTAGTATATTGTCTTGTCAATGTCGTGCTTAACTAAATTCAAGTAAAACCAAATTCAGTAAGAATAATTTTTACTGTTGCTATATTTTTATTTTTTAACAAATTTGGCATTAAATAATGAAGAATGGTTTTCTTTACCATGCTTTGGAATCTTATTCATGACATACTTGAACGCTGCTGAAACACTTTTGTCCTTTGTCACATCTAATTCAACGACATGTAGACGCTTAGAACATTCATTACGGAGTTTCCGTGCACCTTCTCCTTTCTCGTTCAAACAACCGGCAAAAACAATAAATCCAAGCTCATCAAAATGCTTTGCAAAGGCGAAACCGAATCCTGAAATTATAATTTCAATGAAAATATATATATTAATAACTTTGTTTCGGTAATAGTTAGTCAATATTAGTAGCGGCATCTGGTTGTACCTTCAATAGTAAATCTTAATATGTCTATTCTAACCTATGTTCAAGCCAACATAACAGCGCGTCAAGCTATGCTAAATTTATTTGTTTAAAGATCATGTAGAGAAAATTGAGAAGGAAAAGACTTAAATTTTAAACAAGAATAATACAGGGAAATAGTATTAACTAATAAGTTGCTGCCTTAAGGCACAAAAATATAATATAACCAAACGGAACATTTCATCGTTTAATGGTCACATCGTTCATTAGTTTTTGTACAGGTTCGTTGTATTATGGATTATTATTATTATTTTGCGTTTAATTGAAATTATTAACTTATTAGAAATGATAAACGAAGCGTAAAAAATAGAATAGACACGTAGATTACCTGTATCACACCCGGTTATAAAGACACCACGACCGGAAGTGGATATCGTCTGCTCAAAGTACATCGACCATATTTTAAGGACCACTTTCCATAACACGTAAAGTAGGATTGCAGACAATGTGTACTTTAAGAACATATACGGTAATAAACATACTGCAACTGTAAACGTGATTTGGTAAAATCCGTATCCAACGAAATCTATTAGATGTACACCGTTCTTCATCTTTTAAAATTAAATTAACGTTTATGCAATGTTTTATCTCCTGAAGGTTTTTGCTACTGTACTTATCTTGATCGTGTTGAAATACGACGAAAGGTCGACCTAGGTTAACACTCTATCTACACACCATAGTTAACTGGGAATTTATGTTACACTGATTTTTTAAAAGGTACTAAACGTTTACACGCATAACCACAATTCAACTATCGTGTAACCTGCACAACGGTTTAACATTCAAAACGTTACAGAGCGAAAATATATCATAAGATTAAATCCAGAATAAGAACAATATATATAAATGTATACTGACTAATTGTGTTTCTTACGGCAGCCATACAGCTAGATTTTTATTTTTTTCCGCTGCTAGTATATAACATGTTTGTATAAATGTTTAAGGACATTTCACAGAAACATAGATTCATAATAAGTTAATAAAAAGTATTATATTTACTTGTTTTTTATATGTAACCCAAAGCTTGACACAATTATACTGAAAATATTGCAGGTTCAGTTTAATTAAAAAAAATCTTAACCTAAATGGCCGCTGAGCAAGGCGAAACTAAACATGCAGGTTCCATAGCAGACACTACCTTAATACCCATAGAGCTATGCACATCTTACAAAAAGGCGTTTGAAAAACGTTTTATTTTCGCGTATGTATACTATTTAAGTTACAACATGTGAAATATTACAGTCCTGTATATTTTAGATCATACAAAAAATGCGTATACAATGAAGGAATTCAGGTGCACATAAATTAAATTAATTATAATAACTATATTATACCGTAGGAAATACCTAAATCTAATCAATATTTAACACCAAATTTGTATAAACAAGAGGGCCACGATAGCACTTACTTGGTACATCGCTCAACTTATTATAAAGGCTCTTATAATAACAGTCACTTTTTATCATCGGAATAATTGCTCTGACACTACCCTATTTATTAAATTATCTTAATTATCACTAGCTTTTAACATAACATGTATAATTCTGGTGATTTGTTGTTATGTGTGATACTGAATACTATCAACGTTATTGTCTACACATTTTCGACTCGATAAATACACATTAGAAAAGAGATACTTACGGTTTAAGAATTAAACGTTTTTTTAAAACGCCACTAAGAATAGTACATGACAATACAAGTACATCAAACAATTCTGACTTTTCATCAAGTTATAATTGCAGCTTTAAATTAATGGCAAATTTTATCATAAACCCCTTGTCACTGAGGAGGGTTGCCTCTAAGAATTGCACCAATCATTTATCTATTCGTGATCGTAATAGGCGACCAAATGGGTTTGAATAACTGGACTCTATGCATCTCTTAGTTCCAGCAGGTGAGATGGTTTTGACCCATGGTGTTGCTTTAAGATTGTAATACCCGATGTTAGCCCAAATCATCGCTCCTATCCCGGCGCCATATTGCCTAAATTGTCTTGGTGCGCCGTAAAACCAAAGAAAACAAAAAATATACAACAAAATATTTACCTTGGTTATCAACATTGGTCATGTGAGTTTGACTAAAGCACATGTTGTTTTCGTTGTGTTTTTTTGGCAACAATAATATTCATACGTGTTTTATAATTATTAATTTTCTTGTTTTGTTTGTATTTTTTGTTTGTTTGTTTCTTTGTTTTGCAAATGCTGACTACAACAACAGAAAAAAAATAGATTGAAGTATAAATAAGTGGCTTACTTGTTCAAAATCAGATATTTAGTAGTAAGTGCTCTAAACAATGCGTTCAAAACATACTATTTGTAGTTTTAAAGCTGATAAGGACGCTCGTAGTGAATTACCTTCTATACGTATACTAGAAGATGCCCTTACACTGAACTGAATTGACTAAATTCTGGAAACAAAGTGATCCCTCGGAAGCATTAATCCCAACAAAATTACATAAGAATTGCAGACTCGGTTTGATTGAGTACTTGTCTCAAATAGCGCAAATGTTCTTATTTCTGGCAGGCTGCACATATTTTATAGTAGAGAATATCTGGAAAATGTGATCTCTAGGAGGCATTCAAACAGCAAATTCACATGAAGTTGCAGACTCGGTCTGATCGAGTCTGTACATGAGGGAAAATTAATATCCCCGCCCCCTAGCACCGGTTTGAGCGGTTCTCAATTCTCCACATTTAAAAGTGCTGGAATCAATGATTCGTAGGACCAGAAAAATATGACAATACTAAAGTGAAGCTGCAAAAAGACGCTCCTTATAGTAAAGTCCAAGAATCGATAGCTATAAAGATAAGTGATAAATTACAATCAAAATAGGTAACGTACGTTTGAAATGCTTTATGATTGCTTTTTACTAATATCTTTTTATATTATACTTCATTTGCGTTCGCCCTTCTATTTTTAATATGACGTCATCCAGTCCATAAAATATGAAAAACAAGATCAAAAAGGAAAGGCAGCATTCAAATAAGCAACCCCCACACGACCAAGCAAAAGGAGCCCAGGAGGACCCATAAATCGCATACAGACCGGCTATCCAGTCCAAAATTCTTATACAGACTGTTTAAACGCGACTTTCAGGACGTGCGAATTTCACAATTTTAAACAGCGATTCGCCTCTTTATCGGGAAACTCGGCGAATCAAAGGATTAAAAAACACCAAAGCCGCGACATATCACTCGGTGAAGCTCTTCCGAATATATCTAGCAGAAAAAGAACAAATTATTTAGAAGCAAATTATAGTAAAAATGACAGCAACAAAAGGGGTGAAAGGATTTAGATTCGGTAAAATGTTAATTATTTGATTCGCAAAAGTCCTTTAAAAAACAAGAATAAAGATCAACAAGGCAAAGGCAACGTTCATAGGACGCGGCCCCCGACACACTCAAAAAAATACTAGTATCCAAATAAGCTGTATAGTATCTTTTTTATTTCCTTATTTGGTAGTTTGTGTAGCTCACATGGTTATTTGCTGAAATGAGTTTTATACTTATAAGGTTTATTTGAAAATCAAAATCTAATATAAATTTGGAAATGTAGTTTTCATTGTTGCACTCAATGTAGTAAATTGATACGGTGTTTCTATTTTGAGCAGAAGTTATAATAAAGTCTATGTTATTTAACAGAATTAATTAGAATCTTTCTAAAAAATATTTTTTTTGCGAACTGAGAAACGAAAAATGTGATATTTACAATTTTTGAAAACCATACATTTACTTTGTTCATGCCCACGCATGAAATATTACGCAAAAGCTAATATACTACTAGCATTTTAATGTCAATTCAATTTAATTTAAAAATCAGATTTGTTTATGTTAGACATTAAACGTTGACACTTGTGTTGCATTATGAAAATAAGCTGTTATAAAATTTATGTTGATCACATCAATTTCAATGCACGCTTTTAACATAGGTTTATCAAAATAAAATTTCCAACAAATACATCTGGTCTTGATATTGTAGAGCTACACTCTCATGTATTCCTCTTGAGGGGGTGCCTTTAATGGTTGAGATCTAAGAATTGCAGCCACTACATCTCTGTATGATCGTAAGAGGCGACTAAATGGGGTCTATAAACTAGAGTGTATGCATAAGTTAGCTCCAGCAGGTGAGGTAGTTTTGACCCGTGGTGTTGCTTTGAAGTTTGGGACACCCGAGATTTGCCAAATATACGATAGACAAGATCAACAAGGAAAGGCGGGAAAGGAACGCAATCAGCACACGACCCAGCAAGAATCAGCGGCGGCAAGAAGTTCAGAAGGACCCCCAAACGAAAATAGGACAGGGCGCAAGGCCCTCGGACAGGATAACATCCTGTTTCGGCGCAATATGTTGGTTCGCCGTAAAATCAAAAACTATCATATACGAAAAATGAATGTTTAAATAGGTGATATATGAGACGGGCAATATTTTTTTTTCAATTTATTGGCATTGTTTATTTTTTTATATTTGTGAAAAAAATGTTTTCATGTCTGTAAGCTAATAATTGAATAGAGAAAGACAGAGTCCCTAAAGAAAGCCCACACGACAAAATTAAAATGTTGCAGGCTCCTGTTCATAAAAAAATAAAGACCGCATTCAAAGGATCCAATCAGTTATTACGTTTTACTACTATTTCCTTCATGAGTTGTTGCGCCGTAAAACCAAACAAAAACGCTATCAAATTGAATATTAACTCCCTTTTGTAAATATTATCTTAAAAAAGACAACAACGGAATCCATAAAGAACGCCCAAAACAATACCAATATCAGGTTCCATCTGCCTTTTTAAAAATGTATCAGGTCGTGTACTCATTTTCATGCCAATTCTAGCCATCGATTCCCCTTTTTGTTAATATCATATTAGTTCATATTCCAACTAGTCGGTGCTAGGTAGTGGCGTTAAGTTTAATAATTACAGTTTTCGGTGCCTTACGAGCAATTATTATGTGTCAGTGTTCCTGTTAGACCCAACAAACAAAGAATTATTTTTCTTAATATAATATCAGTATCTCAGGTCATGTAATTAAAAAGATATAAATTTATGACCGACCTTCTTATCTAAATATTAAATCAGGTCATGTTCTCATATTCATCCCAATATACGCATTTGATCTTCATTTTGTAATACTATATAGTGTAATGAAAGTATATTTAGTATCCGATTTATATATATTAACCTACACCCACGTATCCGACTTTTATATATTAACCTACACCCACGCAATATGGAAAACAAAGGAAAATACTTGAAATTATTTTGACCGCTCATAAATAATCTTTCAACATATTAATATTAAAACGGAAACCTGAAGATAAGTTTTGACCGTTAACAGTTAGCTACTATTCACACGAATTCCTGAAGTTGAAATGACTTTACCATCCGAGTGAAAATGTTGAATATTCAGGTTAAAGTCAAAATAACTTTACAAAAATCAGTAGAGAACAAAAAAGTCTATGCTGAAGCAGGAGATACCTCGTCGAAAAATATATTAGATCAATTTATATTTCATACCATTTTTAGCCAACGATCCTCTTTTTGTAAATATTATAATAAAATATTATATCTGTTCATGTACTCCATGATAAACTCACTTTAAATTTGATAATCCTATTTTCATAATATTTTCTCGATGCCGTACGAGCAGTTGTTATGTGGTTAAGGTCGTTGATTTTTCTGCTGGACTCCTCGCCGGTAGTCCTGTGTTTCATGG